GTAATGCACGATAGCGCCCTGGTACGATGCTCATTCATATTGAAACGGACATAGGTGGAGCCCTAAATCATTGGGTTCTGTAGCGTGAGCATTTTCTTGACGTGCGACGAAATTCGGGCCGTTAACACACATTGCCTCCAGTCACCCCTTTTTTCTAGCTAGAGCCAAACGATAATCGAGTTGTCCTTCTATGCAAAGATTCATAGGTTCGTCCACACTATCGCGTTCGCAGCATTCTATAGACAGAACTTGAATTTCCCTGTCATCATGCCCATGAAAAGAGAAACACATGGAAAATATCACGGAATATGTAGAAATATTGTTTCACTGATATAAATTTACATAGTACTTTCATTGTCATCATCATCATCAACTTGGTTGTCGTCAACCGCATTCCGGTCCTCGTAAGCAGGTGGCTAGCCCAGGAGGCCAAAGCAGACATGTATGTAACGCGTCACTAGTAACAAGTTACTTCTACCTAGTTACATTTTTCAGTAATGGGTAACGTATTTCGGTATTTCTTTAGGAAAGCAATGAGTAACATGCTTAGTTTTAAGGTAAAGTAACGAGTAACAATGTTTCGTTACTTTTGAGGAGTAAAGTTTACAACACCGTTTAAACACCCTCATTTTAATTCTAACCTGCGTATTCGTCTATTGCGACGAAGGTAAAAAGGCAACTCGAAAAACAACTAAAAACAGTATGACAGTGTAGCAACGTTTATCGCTGAACACGTCAGTCGAACTCCACAGCTGGGAATGTCCTTCACCCAGCGAACATAATAAGGTTCGTTAGTTGAACCTTCTAAAATCGTGTACAAGCCAAATATGAACCCGGAGGTTGCCAACACGACAAGGGACGGATCCCATTGTCAACTTGGAACTTTAGAACCAGAGAAAGCAAACGATAGAGGGGGTTCCCAGACTCACCAGCTCTTCCAGAAGCACAACACTGCTGTTCCTTCGAGCATGCATGTCAGTAGAACGACTCTTCAGCGTCGCCGGAGATGTATTCTCAAAAAAGCGGGGAAACATAACCGATGAAAATTTTAGTCTAACGACTACTGAAAAGAAAACAATAAACCATGAAACAAAAGCGGTTGTGTATTTGGCCGTCGTCAAAGCAACTAAAGAAAACGAACTCGTTACTTTTGAGGTAACGTAACGCGTTCCTTTTTAGCCCAGGTAACTCGAGCAATGTACTTAGTTACCTTTTCAGCTAGTAACAAATAACCTTATTTAGTTACTTTTTTTGAGTGACGTGTGCATGTTTAAGTTCAAGTGACTTAATCCAGCATTAATTGTTCTCTAAGCTTAGGCGTGAAACAAACGCGAGCGAAAATCTCGTCGCGTTGCTATGGCGTATCAGAATGCCGCGCCGCCACGTCACTTCTATGGCTGCGCCGCTCGGCGACGTGACGCGACGTAATTTTCTGCTCGCATGTGTGTTTCCCGGTTTAGGTGTGGATAGCTGAATTTGGCACGCCGCGTGGCGGCGGTCAACCGAAGCAACACCACCTATAGAATAATCAAGGACTGTGAGCTATACAATTTTGACGTCATCACTGTGAGATCGAGCGAAGACGCAGATTGGATACGAGCGCTGCGACAACGTTCGGCTGGACCTCGTGTCCAATCAGCGCGTCGAAGAACGCTGGGCTTCGGGCTCGGGTCCGATTGCTGACTTGGCGCCATCCGACTGCGATGACGTTACATGAAGGAAGAGGAGAATGTTCTCAGGGCTCGGTTATTCTATGTGGTGAGGACCGAAGTGTCTAGCTCGAGAAAGCTAATTATTTCATTTTCGACGAGTCAGTTCAAAACTCTCAGAATTGATACGCCGCATGTGCGTTATATGTTGTTCGTATTGATGCGTGTGAATGTCCAATCAGGTGCGCAATTCTGTTTTTCTTTTCTTTTAAAGAAGGACGTCGTTTTAGAGAACGTCCACACTTTATTATCACACTTCATTATGAGAAAAGCTGAAATTATTGAGTAACACGAACGCTGCGGGAAGGCCACTCTTCTTGATGACATCTGAACGCACATAAACGCTCGTACGAATCCTGGACACCTTTCCACGGTCTTCTTAGACGGAGCTTCGTCTCAGATGCGCGAGTCGCTCAGCCGAGCTGAAAATGCTTCTTTTTTAGGCGATCACGTAAGCGAAACGTAATCGACACTCGGGCACTTCGTGATTCACGGCAGCAAACGTGCGAGGCTTTGTTCACCCTTAGGTGCAATTGACACGCCAGTGTACACATGGCGTAATGGCACGCTTGCGCAAGCGGAAAATTGAGCTCAGCGGTCGGCGGCAACATCACCGCTGTCTGGCGACCTCTTTTTCTGCGGAGTTCGTCGCGGGAAGGTCTCACTTTCTAGGCTCGAATAAGCGAAGTTATGAGGCTTTATTTCTATTTTATATTTTTACATCGCGCGTAGCTCATAATTTGCTATATTACTGCGCTAAACGTAGCTCACATTTAGCCGCAAAACAAGATTTCAGTAGAGCTCTTGCTTTTCGCTTATACACCTGCGTCCTCTCTCGCTTTCTTTCTTCTTTCTGCTTTCTTCGCATTTGTCTTCGTTCTTCATTGTACACGTGTGTGCGCACGCATTTTGCTCGTGAATTATTTTCCTTGCAGGAAATTTGTAAGTGTCAGTGAAGCATAAGTAAACGAATTTAACTCATTCTAACATAGCAATTAAGCTTTTTTTTGCGCGTAGTCTAGCGCATTAACCCATTTCTACCGCCGAAAGTGCGAGAAATGTGTTAACCCTTGAATTTTGTTTCTTCTGCTTGTCTGCTGTACACCCGGTACAAACCAAGAAATGTTAAGTGCGTGTACCTTTGTTCCATGTACGGTCGAGAACGATATGAAAAAGCCGAAGCGAGCGCGTGGGTTAGAAGACCTGCAGCGCTATCTATCAGAAGAAATCTCAGCCGTCATTGAATATTCAGCAGCTGTTAAAAGTCTTATTGTCACACAACCCTTGACAGGCTGTTTGCCGAGTTGATGCTGATTTCAGTGGCCACTGTAAAAACGTTTTGTGACAAAGAAAACAACAACAAAAAAAAAAAAAACACGCGCGCCTAAAACTACGGAGTCGGCTAGTTGAGCGATCCGTTTTCAGACGTTTGATATCAAATTCGCGAGATGGACAATCAGCAGTTTATATTTTATTTCATTGAGCAAGGAAACATAATGCACAAAAAGCGCCGAAATCGGGGTTGACTCGGCTGTCGTTTGCCGACGAAAAAGGAAGTAACGACAAATATCGAAGAGCTTAACTTCGCAAACCATAACTTCGATGATGACTCAGCTTTTTCTCCTTAGATGGCGTTGGGGGTCTTCGGAGTCACGCGCTCGTCTGGGTTTTCAATATTGCTCGCGACTCTATTATACAGTATTATAGTGATACGTAAAGAGTGGTGACTGAAGCCCTATCGCGCCCCAGCTCTTAGGGTTCACGACACCCGCAAGCTGGCGCAGTGGTGCCCAATTAGTTATACATTCGTTATATTTGTGCCATTAGAGATTGGCTGTGGTTTTATTTACTTATTTCTAAAACTATCAGTAGCTTCGAATGTTTTCAAAAATATTACGGCTGCGACTGGGGCTTTGGCAAGACGAACGACTTGGCAGCTGCCATAACGGCAGCCAAGGGGGTCAGAAAAGGGGGTGGGGCGGGGCGGATGCGGCGTGCTGTTGCCGTCATCGTGTGAATTTCTCAACGTTCTTTCTTTGTGCAAAGGTGAGGCGGTTAAAGCGTAACCACGTCGAGAGTGTGTCAAGCGTCTTTTGAGCGTTAGCTGCGTCGCCAAAAAGCTTTTTTTTTTTTCTTTTTTTAGTAATGCAAGCGAGCTGGCGCTACGAACACGACCGTTTTGTCTTGAACGACGCTTTCCCTGCTTTCACTTCTCTAGCGTGCGTACATTGCAGGCTCGTTTGAACGTTTGAAGCGTCGACCTCGCTGTCCTCTTTTGTTCGCCTTACGGTAAAATGAAGTGTGCATTCCTACAGACGCTTGCAGAAAGAACAGTTAGTGTTGGTCTGGTTGTCTCTGGGGTCACAATAAATATTTGTGCATTTTTTTTTTTTTATTCTCTTGTTGTTCGGTTGCCTCCTTTTTTCTGCTGAGTGTTGCAGTCTTAAAAATATATTGAATATTGTGCATGGTCTGCTCTGGGATTTAGAATTTATTCGTGCATCTAGGCAATCGATCTCTACCTAAAACAAAACTCTAGTTAGTCACGGCAGACTAGGTGGCACAAGCTACCGCCTGATACGAACAGAATCTGCATGATATTAGTAGTGCACCCATTCAAATAGCAGCCATCTATGTCTCTATCCATGTAGTGAACGAAAGCGCCTAAACAGGAAGATCAGAACAGCTTCACAACAGCCGCTAGGTGCGCTGACAGGAAAGTGAGCCGCTGGAGCCTATGGGAGTGGCCACTCTTTACGTCACACCATATTAATTTATGATTGTACTAAGGGGACGTGTTGTCGCCTACGCAAAGTTTGCTTTGCGTGCACCTTGAAGTTATACTAAAAAAAAAATAAAGTGTTAGTTCGCTTTCCTGCAGAACGCAGCATTACAATTAGACAAAAAAAAATGTGATGTGCGCATGAATATTGCACATGACGTATCCACTTGTCAACATTGTCCCTATGAACATTGAATTTTTCAGTTGTATTTCTATTATCAACTTTGTCATTCCCTCAAACCCTTCTGTTTTTTTGTTTTTTTCTTCCGTGGTTGGTTGTTTTCGTGTTCTGCAAAAAAGTTAACTGACATATAACTTCTTTTTTTAAGTGCAAGACACATTTTTTAATTGTAATTTATTTTAAGATATCAAACTAAAATAATCATTGTTTTTTTTCTAAAACAACCCATAAGGTTGCATTCTTTGGCATCCTATATACCGGTGAATGTTGATTGAAGTGCCCTGGGCAATTCGTGCGATTCACGCGAATTTCTCCACTTTTATTGCAGTTGCTGGCTGTCCATTCAGCGCGGAATGCTGCTGTCTTTTATCGTCCCAATTTCCATTCTCATCGTGGTAAGCTCTTCTTGCGTGTTTACTCAAGTTGGGAGACAATATTAAAAAAAAAAGAGAAGTAGTGCTGTGAGAACAAAAGAAACATGAAAGCCGTTTACAACTCCCTGTAACGCCGAATTAGAGCGCAGCTCTTGAGGAGGAGGGAAGGGTACTGAAGGGGGGGGTGTCATGGTGACCTCGGGGGTCACGTGATCTCGGGGGGGTCACGTGACCTTGACGATGACGATTTGATGACGTCATCAGTGGCGTCATTGATGACGTCATCAGTAATGATGACGATGCGGATGCCAATGACGTCATCAGCGACGTCACTGATGATGTCATCAGTGATGATGACGATGACGATGCGGATGATGATAACGTCATCAGTGATGTCACTGATGACGTCATCAGTAATGATGACGATGACGATGCGGATGCCGATGACGTCACCGGGTTGCATGAAACCTGGATTGCATGCAACAGGTTGCATACAGCTCGTTACATGCCAGTTGTATGCAGCAGGTTGCATGCAACCCAGGGTGCATGACAGCTGCATGCAACAGGTTGCATGCAACCTGTTGCATGCAACTCCTGAAGGAACCCGGGGTCCTCCCGAGGTCCTCTCGAAAAGACCCGAGGTACTCCCGAAGGACCTCGGGTTCCTTCGGGAGGACCTCGGGTCCCTTCGGAAAAATTTACCCATAATGCACCGGGCGGTTACGCCGACGGCGACGGCGACGGCGACGCCGCTCAAGCCGGAAACGGGCGCCTAAGAGTTGCGCTCTAAAACACTTCTCTGAACAGACTGTCAGGTACGTACAGTGTGTTTCCCGAAAGGCCTAATCTTATTGTGCGAAAAGTACACATTGATCAGCCGAGGAGCTTTGCGGTGCACATATATTGCGTCCTGGATAATGAAGGGTTTTGTTCGTTGCTAACAATGACATGTCTAAGTAAGAAAGAAAGACCTTGAATTGCACGTGTCAAATATAATAGAAAGAATTGCTACATACCTTACTTTTCAAACGTCATGATTCGACTAGCGTTTTACTGCCTCCCCCCCCCCCCCCCCCCCCCCCCCATTAAACTAACCACTGTGGTTTCCATGTTCCGCTTGCTGCATACAAGCGCAAAATTTCAATACAAAGCAGAGTTCAATCTCTGACTATAAAAAAACGATAGTGTTTCAAGACTTATTTTCATATGTTCCACACATCTGAAAGATGCGGGGAACATTAAAGATGAAATATTCATCATTAAAGATGAATAATAAGGTCTCTTTTTTTATTATTCCCGTTAGTTTCATTGAGCCTTTTTCTTTCTTCTTTTATTGCAGGAAATTTTTTACCAGGGTTCCGTGAAACAGCTCACTGGAGCATATTCTTGATTATTCAACTTTCGTGTAACATTTTGAGGAAATTTTATTTAATCAAATATCAGAGGGGAGAATAAAAATTAAAATTATTTAAATCGTGATTTAGGTCACACTAGTTTCAATGTGATTATTTAAATCAAACATTTCCCCCAAAAAAATTTGGAAAATATTTTTAGTTATTGTTTGTTTGTCATTTGATACCTTCTATGTGGATTTGTTGTATATTTAAATCAAAAAATCATCCAGCAAGAATCACTTGTATGTATAAGGCTGGATACGAGTAAAAAGAAGTGATCTTCCAAGGATTTTCATGCATTGAACCTGATTACTAACCTCGATTTCGTTCGTCAACTACGTAACATCCTATTGCCACAAAGTCAGAACGCAAGAAAAAAAAATAGAAGCGTGAACGGGAAAAGCAATGTCCTGTTGCAGTCCAAGTAGAACTCGAAGGAGATTAAATACGGTATTTTATCTAACTAAAGAAAAAAGCTGATTTGTTCTAGTATGGCGGGGGTTAGAGCAATTAAACGTTGTTAATTAAACTCCACTTTAGATTTTTAGTAATTCTTTTTTATGCATTGTTCAATCAATCTGCCGTCATGAAAAATACACCTAGTAATAAAGAGTTATCATTTCCTAGCTCCAGTGATTTAAATATAAGTAATCTCATATAAATCAAAGAAATGTGGTTTGACTCATTTTTTTTTGCAAACAAGTAATTAGTTTCTTCAACATTGCCAAATATGCTTTGCTCATTAGAAGAGCACGCCGTAAGCAATCGTTATTGATGTAACACGATAATGCATAGGATTGTACTTTAAGACTATACCAATACTTAAAAAGATAAAACATCGAGGACGGGGACGGAAACAGGACTTCTTTCATTGAGCAGCAACATAGAATGGCACAAAATTTATAACTGTCCCCCAAAGGTTTCAAAGTTCTTGAAGAAGGAAAGAAGAAAATTGTTAAAAAAAGGGAAAGGGCAATTGACTATAAATTCCAAAGTTTAAAAAGCGCTGGCCTCACGATGAGGCACCAGTAATCTAGTTATCTCTGGTGCTACGAATTCGACTTCTTTCATTGTCAGTGATAATGAAGGTAAAGAAATGTTATTGTTGGGGGGAGGGGGGGGGCAGCCCCCATGGCAAATTATTCAGTGATTTGTTTTCCAAATCTGTTGTTTTGCCCGCCCAGTATTCTAGTATCAGAGAAATTAGGAGTACAGTCATCGCACGTGCGGCTGTGAACGACGATTGCGTGAAAGGACTCGTTTGAAGCCTCTGATGCTTCCAAGTTGTGGTCTGTGAGTCGATGGTAAACGTATATCCCAGTTTGTCCGATGTGCTGACTGCCGCAGCTTAGTGAAATTGAATAAACCTTTCTTTCTTCGCACTCTACGAACTTTTTGGCATGTTTTACATTGCAACCTCTGGGACTGTCGCTCCCATTAAGCCTTTTACGCAGCTGTTTAAGGCGCATACGACAGAAAAAACCCACACTGGTGTCGCACTTGGACACGATAGATCTTATATGGTGCGCGGAATCGTGCATGTTGGGGATCACAGCGAAACGACCTTTCTTTTTAGCAACTGAGCGCGGAATTTGTGGCCTGAGAATGAATCTCTCAAGGGTGGAATGAAATAGGTCCTCAGGGAGAGCCTGCTTTTTCCAACCTCTGATGCTGCAACTTCAGGCTACTTTCGGAGAAATGTGTACATGACTTAGATAATGAGGACTTGAAAGTTACCGCACTATGCCATGCTTAAAGGGCAACTCCGGTCCATACTTTCGATTTCGGGATTATGACTGTTTTTAGCGCAGCCAGCGTCCTTGAATTGCAAGGCGTAAGTTTTTTTCTCGTTATTGTGCGTAGTTTTAAAGATATCGACGCCTCAAAGTTTTGTTTGGGGCGCGGCCAACAAAACCGAAACTAGCCGCTCGAGGCCCCGGCAATACTGGAAATAAGCCGCTATTTGGACGTGACGTCAGGATCGTTCTCGTTCAACGAGTACGCAGGCCGAGCGGCACCTACTTCTGTTGCGCTGCCGTCTAAAGATAGGATGTAAGCTGATTTTGTTTTAATTCTGTATACCTGCTAGTTATCCAGCATATATAGCAAAAGCTAGTGCGTATACCCAAAACCTAGCGGCTGTAAAACCCGTGAACTCGTTCGGTGCCGTACTCGGCGGCCGCCGCCGTGCATGCGCTATGCCGTGCTCGTCGCTTGAATACCCAAAGGCTAGCGACTGGAAAACGAGTGAACTCAATCGGTGCCGTACTCGGCGGCTGTCGCCGTGCGTGCGGTCTTCCATATTCGTCGCTAGGCCTAAATTGTCATCGGGGCTCCGTGGATGGAGCGGCGTTGCTCTACGCCGCGCTGTGAGTGACGTACAGTATTGGGGGCCCTCTCGCTTTCGCGCTGCGGGTGAGTCCCAGACACGAAGCCTTGAGGCTCTAGGGCGTGTGCCGCGGCGCCCGAACACACGTGTGCTGGGCCGTGCACGTCTGTCTTTTCGTTCTTTTTTCCTCGGGCGCCTAAAAGCCGAAGCACAACAAAGTCCACTCATCGAACTGCGTTCACCCACACCTTCTCCAATTTCCGGTCCGTTGGAAACTTGTGAAAAAGCACCTCCGGGTTGCGCAGCGGGTTGTTTGAGCAGCCCACAGCGCTACAAGTTGTACTCGGCATTTTTCGTGGAACAGCTGGGCAGTCTTGGGCGCACCGAGTTGCTCGCTAAAACGAGTCTTGGAGTCCTCACAAGGGCAAATAAACAAAAGGCTATACCGAAGCTAAAACGGCTAAACACGCCAATCACAATCCGAAGTAGCGGTGGCAGCGGCTCAGAGAAGCGCACTCCGCGCAACGCACAGACCGGAGGAAAAAAAGAGGACCATACTGACGTCACGGCCCAATGTTGCTTTAGCGATTGGCAACCCGCTGGCCGCCCGCTAAGAAGCAGCTGCTCACGGCGGGTCGCATTTTTATTATCGGCAGTAGTTGAGAATGCAGCGTCCCCCGGACGTAATATTTTGTTTGTGAGGGTAAAAGCGCTCAAAAAGCCGTTTACAATTCCCTCTAACGCCGAATTAGAGCGCGGCTCTTGAGGTGGGGGGAAAGGCGCGGAAAGGGGGGGGGGGGGGGGGCACGTGACCTCGGGGGGGGGGGGGGGGGGGCGGGGGGTCACGTGACTTGGAGGGCCACGTTACCGGGGGGCCACGCGACCTCAGAAGGAGGTCACGTGACCGGGGGGGTCACGTGACCTTGCAGTTACGCCGACGCTGACGCCGCTCAAGCCGGAAACGGGGGCCTAAGAGCTGCGCTCTAAAACAACGGGCGAGTAAAAGAAACGAACAACACAGAGCGCTACTTGCAACTGAAGTTTATTCTCAGAAAACACACATATATATACACCGTGAAATCGCGACATGAACTACAGAAATGCGACATCACCCAATCAGTGTTTGTCTGTCCGCTATCTACTTTACGAAAGATTTTAAAAACGCCACCTCAGAGCCAAACAGGGCTATCGATGGAGCGCTGACACACGTTCCTTCAACGCACTCAGATATGAAAAAAAGCTTCGGATATCTCCCTTGTCATTTTGTTTCGATTTCGACGCCGTTTTGTTTCGACGCC